ATTACTGCAAAGTACAATGTCTTCAATACAGTAAAAACCTAGCTGTGACTAAGAACCTGGTTTTAGGAACCTGTTTGGCTAAACTTGCCAGTTATAATTAGGCCCCAGGCTCTATACAAGAACCTGTTTAGCCCAATATTTAACACACATCTTTATTTTCTCAAATCTATAAAAAAAATTCTATACACCTGGAAAATATTCAGGTGAACCTCTTTGGGAGACATAAGCTGCAATGTTTTTTTTCCTGCAGAAAATAAGAACCTTTTCATTTTAGAAAAATAGACAAATTTTTTGCCAATAACTATTTTTGTAAGAACGTATCTGTTAATGCAATGGGAAAATCCAGGTTCTTACCTACGAGTTTTTACTGTCTTTTGACCGGTCCGAGCTAAAATTTGTTTGGCAGGTAATAATTTATTTTGACCGGTTAGTAACTAGACATGACCAAGCTTAAATTTGTTTGGCCTGTCAACATTCAAAAATAATTTCTAACCCTGGCTGCCCTCCTTATTTACATAGATCTCCATATATATTCTTAAACACTCGAAGATAGGTATCTACAAAATGGAAAAGCCTAGATTTATAGTAAAATAATAAAAGTTATTTCAATTACAAGAGGGAGAATAGATCCTTCAAATTCTGTTTACCCTGAATAAAACAAATAGAGGTAAGCTCGAACAATCCGCACCAAAACGCTCTTTCAACAGACATTGAAAATCTTCAAATTCAAGGTGCTCTCTGCTCTCTTTCAGAAAACATAACAACGCTTTCACAGACCGTATAATTTACAATCCTCTAACACTGAATCATTTTAACTTGTCACAGAGGCCAGAGTCGCCTAAAATTTACATAAGGAGTTATCATCATTCAGCGATGCATCGGACACATGGCAATGGTTATAATTTTCGATAAAATTTCATTAATACAATTTAAGATTACCTTATTTTCCGCGCCAGAAACAACGAAAATACACCGAGGAGCACGAATTATAAGGTTACTCTATAATTTTATCTTGGACGCTACTGTCTTGTTAAAGTGAAATTTCAATCATATCGTTTCTCTTCAACGAACTTGGAGGACACAGGTCAACTTCAATGGATGATAAAAGTATCAACTCTAGACTGCGTGACAACAAATGACGTGTGGTGATTGGTCCAAAAAAACTGATGCAGTTACAAAGAGGTTATTGATTAACAAACAAAACAAAAGCTACCTCTGTTTTCGTAAAATCCCCGATTCTTATAACAGAAAGCTAACCTCGGCAAAAATTCGCTCACCTTCTCCTCCTTCTCGTTCGTTTTTCGTTTATACGACGCCTGTTTTCCCTTGCTGTCTCTCGCTCCCTTCTTCGCCGCTCGTCGCTTATTAGGCGTCTATTTTCTCTTGCTCTCTCTCGTTCATTCTCCAGTTGCTCTTCAGTGAAATTTTGTCGCCTTTCCCCTTTCTCTTTCTTGCGCTTTTCCCCGTTGTTCGTCAGTAAAATTTTGCCTCCTTTCTCTGTTTCTCTCTTGCTCTCTCTCGCGTTGCTCCTCAGTAAAATGTTTCCTCCTTTCTCTGTCCCTTTCCTGTTCTCTCTCCCGTTGCTCATAAGTAAAATTGCGCCTCCTTTCTCGACTCTATCCCTTTCATGTTCTCTCTCCTGTTGCTCATCAGTAAAATTGCGCCTCCTTTCTCTATCCCTTTCCTGCTCTTTCTCCCGTTGCTCGTCAGTAAAATTGCGCCTCCTTTCTCTGTTTCTTTCTTGCCCCCTCTCCCGTTGCTCGTCAGAGCAGTTTCGCCTCCTTTCTCAAGCTCTCTGCCGCTCTCTCTCTCGTTGAGCTTGGCTTGCTTGCCGCCTACTTTCTCGTTTTCTCTGCCTCTCTTTATCTCTATACTCCAAACTAGAGGGCATAATAAATAAATAATGTAGAAAATACGGATGTATAAAAAATGTCAACTGACACGAAAAATTTCTTTTTGTTCTGAGTTGACGTTCCTGAACTTCTAATAGAGTTGTTTATGCTTCACAAAACGCGGGTTGCCATTCGTTTTCGCGCCAAAAAACCCTCACCACAGACTACCCGAAATTTTGCGTTGGTATGCCTGTGGTGCGGACGGACGGTCGGGCGGGCGGTCGGTGTACGGTCACGTGATTACCAAATTTTCTCGGATGGGTAGTTTACCACATTTTGTTACCCATGGTGCTCCGCTGCGCGCTTCGCGCGCGAGAGCTCCGCTAAAAAGTTCCCGGGTTAGCGTTTTTAAAGACGGCTCACGACGGCCGTTTTGAAAGCCTCCACTGACTGCTTTTTAATGAGACAACTTGGTAAAGATTTCCAGTCTCTGATTGTACGTGCAATAAAACTGTATTGCTACTGATTTGTTTGTTTTAACATTAACTTGAAAGAATTTCTTAGGATGGAATTGCCTAGTGCCCTGACGTCTTTTAAATCATATACAGGGTGGAAATCAGTATAGCTGATGACCAGAGACCACTTTAAAGGGAACCTCCACTTCAACAAAAAGATAACTTTAAATCACAGGAAATAACTCTTACAGTCAAGTCAATCTAAAATATTTTTAAAGAAAGCGTTTGTATCCGAAAGAAATAACTTTTAGATTCGCCTATTTTTGTTTTCAAATTTTGCGGGCGTCGCCATCTTGAATAATTGTGACGTGTAATGGTTGCCCTATTGTTATTAAACAAAAGCTCTTTGTGTCAGAACAATAGAGCAACCGTAACACGTCACAATTATTCAAGATGGCGGCGCCCGCGAAATTTGAAAGTGAAAATAAGCGATTTTAAAATTCACTTTTCCTGATATAAACACTTTTTTTAAGACAAATTTCGAACAAATTTGTTTATCAACATAATTTTATTCGATTTAAACTTATTCTGTAGTAAGAGTGGAGGTTCCCTTTAAACATCATTGTGAGTCGTGCAACTTTCCTTCTTTTCTCGAGTGTTGGCCATTTCATATTAGTCAGAATTTTCGTGACAGTTCCAGGAGTGATGCTATATTCATTTTTAAGACAACGTGCCGCGCGCCGCACACTCTCAGTGTCCTTTATCTGCTTTTGACTGTGCGGGTCCGATGCGAAACATCCATATTCAAGCTGTGGTCTAACTAAAGCAAGATAGGCTTGCTCTTTTACGTTTTCTGGGAACTTATTTAGGCTTCTTCTTATAAAGCCAAGAGATCTGTTGGCTTCGTCTATAATTCCAGCAATATGAAAATCCCAGTTTAGATCACTGGATAGCTCAACTCCAAGGTATTTATGGTGATCAACAGCTTCCAAGGGTTCTCCGTGGATTGTGTATTGGTATTTAACTAGAGTTAGTTTTTGAGCACGAGACTTTTAGGACTTTTGGGATGGCGCATTTCCTTCACGTGTCCGCTCAGTGTACAATGTGTTTAGGTCTTGCTGTAGTGACTCTGTATCATTACAATCTTTGATTACACCAAAGTAAAATACCGCATCGTCCGCGAAAAGGCCAATTTGAACTTTTGTGTTTTCGCCGATATCGTTTATGTACAAAAGGTCTGGAACATGAGTGGGCCCAACACAGTTCCCTGGGGCATACCTGATCTCACGGGATTATTTAATATCAGGTGGTTAGCCATTGTTCGAACCGGGTCTTGAGATTTCCACGAATTCTGTAGAAATTTATTTTATTCAACAATCGGCGATGGGGCACCGTGTCGAATGCCTTTGAAAAGTCGAGTAACAACAAATCATTTTATTGACCAAGGCCAAGGTTACCTGCTACTGATTCAATAATTGTGATCAGTTGCATTTCATAAGAGTGCCGTTGTCTGAAGCCATGTTGATAATGTACCAGAATAGGAGTTGAATCAAGGTAATTCATGATGTGCCGGTATATAGTATGTTCTATAATCTTACAAGGCACAGATGTTAGAGAAATCGGTCTGTAATTACTTGACTTTTTGCGATTCCTTTTTTGAAAACTGGGGTGACATTTGCAGTGATCCAGTCGCTTGGCACTTGCCCTGTTTTGTATTGATAGAGTAAAATATACTGGAGAAATGGGGCAATGACAGGCGCAGCTTCTTTCAAAACCCAGCGAGAGAAATATTGTCAGGGCCACAGGCCTTTTTGGCGTTAATGTTTCTTAACAAGCGTGTTATGCCTGAAACTTCAAACTTCAGAGGGGGGATGTCTGCGATCATACTAGGGCCCTTACTTGGGATGTTAAATCAGTAGATTCAGTTCGTCTGTGAAAACTGTAGCAAATTGATCACTCAACACTTCAGTTTTAATATATCCGTATATCTTCCATGAAAAAAAGGATCCCTTTCTGACTTTCTCATACCTAATTTAGAACCTTGTATCCCTTTTAACTGTTAAAAATGCACTGCCTTTAAAATATAAATAAATCACAAAACCAGGAAATGTTTTTGACACAGCCATAAATTCTTCTAGCAACTTTAGGTCTTTTTACAGACAGATTTCCCTGCCCTTTCTTATACTTCAACTTGAATAAAATCCCCACCATATCTTATACCTGACACCTGACAAAGGTAGCCCTTTCTAGCAGTGCCTCCCGTATAGGCCATTGCAGGAAGTATCCCCCGGGGTTTAGCCCTGCTTAACTGGGCCTCAGTTTGCTTGCTTATATATAAATAAGCTCTATAGTTGGCGTTTCTAGGATAATTTGATATTTAGTGACTTTGGTGCATGCGACACAGTTGAATGCAAACGGCACAATGATTAAATGGCATGAGCTTTTTGTGGCTTTATTCAAAGCTAATACTTGAAAACTAAATGCAATATACGAAAACTGATATAAAGCTTACTTTGAATGACGAATATAAGAAAAATCTCTTGTAACAGTTATATTTATATTTTTATGTTTTATAAATGGCTTGAAATCAAGGTATTTTCATCTAAGTTAGCAATGGGCTATTTGTACCATGCCGTCATTTTACTACTAGTACTTTTTAAACGTCTACAGCCAATAAGACTAATAATAAAACCGACGTCAACGTATAAATATCTTAGCGAACGTAAATCTTCCAGAAATCACCGGTGTTCACGCCAACAAGATAATCATCGCATTCCCACCTTTTTGCTTGGCCACCACTGTAGTCTGGATGATTAAGCGCCCAATGATATAAATCTCTAGCAAAAGCAGGGTGGTCGTATAATCTCTCTTGATCAAATCCAGCACCCCATTTAGCTACCTCAAATGAGCCACTTTCCAATCCCCACTTTTGGCAAACACCTGCTGACCCTGAGTTGTCATTTTCCATTCTGACGTATGAACCACACGAGGCAGGCTGGACATCCGTCTGACCGCTGAAGTACTGGACTGCAGCTTCACCAGTGCTGTTAGCAACAGTGGTCACATGGAACTTACGTCCATTGTTTTTACTGCAGTGGAATCTCAGTTGGGTGAAAGACAAGTGTGTTCTCAGCACAGTCATGGCGGTTTTTGTGAGAACCATCTGATCACTGGTTATTCCACGGTATGAAGTCTTGATTGGCAGCTGAGAGGGAGGAGTTGAGCTTTCCATCGTGATGTTGGAAACGAGGAGCCAGCCTCCTGAAAGAAAAATGTGAAGATAAAGAGGTATTTTATCGAAGTTGTAAATTTGTAAAAACAGTAAGAAAGATTGTTTTAATAGCGGAGCTCGACGCGCGCATTTCTATCTGTCCGGGAAAATTTGGTCACGTGACCGTCCGTCCGTCTGTCTGCACTATAGGGGAAGCAATATTAAATCTCACACTTTCTACGTATTGTTGGAGTCTGTAACCTGATATTGGACATCCATGTTTTTGTCAGGTGACAGCTGTCAAAACAGGGTATCGGCTGAGCAATATCACATGGCCGTATCGCGGGCTCATGTGTTGATTCATCGAGTTTGCGTTTTTATGAACTTATCCGCTGACAAGTTACTACTTTTTAAATATTCGTTGGCTTAAGTTCAATTTTTCTTCAATGCACAGGAAATAAAGTTGTGTTTCTGAGCTGCACAATTAAAATGTTGATTTCCAACTGGCTTCGGACGCGAAATCTCAGCCAGTTTTTAACAGGCAGGAAAGGTAGTTGCTTTGGATTTTCTCACCATGGTCACGCGTTGGCCATGTTCAGTCTATAAAGACCTGATCAGTAAAAATAACAAGTAGACATATTAAATTCTGCAAGCAGAATACTGCAATGCTGATCGTACTTCGTGAAAATTAACTTTGCAGGACATCAACACGACAATGAAAGAACTCAAAACAGAGCGGGACTGTAGCCGTAGACAGCTGTTTCGCTCCTTTTTGGGCCTCGTCAGTCTGGCGTAACAACCAGAGAAAACTCTGATGAAAAATATCCACGCACTATGATTTAAGCCGTAACCTAGAACTCTCAACACCCACAGAATCACGCCATACTACGTGCCGTCTGGGGGGCAAGTGTCCAAGTGTCAAGTTGATGTGTCGCAAAGAAAATATAGGATTGGTCAAAACCAACCTCAAAAACATGGACAGAACCATGCAAAAATTACAGCATATCGGATCTATAAAAGATCTAGGGCCCCAAAATACATAAAGTACAAACATTAACCACAAAGGACTAAAACCGCAAACGAATATGCCAAACGTAGGATCTATAAAGACCTGATCAGCAAAAATAACAAGTAGACATATTAAATTCTGCAAGCAGAATACTGCAATTCAAAGTAGACAGACTGCAAATTATATTAGTTGCTAAAAAATATATATCTACGTGTCGCAACTGTTCATCAGTAGGATGCCTAAAATGCGTACAATTCCTCAATTGGTTTTCCATTAAATCCTATATCAATTGCAGAACATTTTAGGAGGAGCCACCCACCATGTGAGTACAGTCACAGACAACAGATGTAAGTGAGGAAAATAACGCAAAGTAAAATTAAGACGTTAATTAACGAACTAAATGTACACGTCAATTAAATAAATAAACAAATAATGAGCGCGCTAAAAATAAAATTGTACGCGCACACGTACCGAGATACAACTGAAATACAACGCTAAACAATAAATAAGTAATGTAAGGATACGATGGTGCAGTTCAAGCCTGGATTGTTAATCTCATCTCCCGCAGGGCTGCACCATACTTCTCGACGATAAGACCATGGAGGGATACAACCAATAAATTATAAAGTGTAAATTGGCTGCAACCGAGGACTATCGTGTCTCATAACCGGCCTTTATAACATAAAATTATATTTCGGGGCTGTTCAATAGGCGATTTCCTTGTTTCCCCGTGCCTCTGTATCAAAACGAGGTTAAGTGCTAAGCCTTTGATATGGAAATTATTTTTCATTCTCATGTAAATAAAACTCATTTTCACAAGAAAGGTTGTGCACTTCGCCTCATTTTGAAAGTGAGGGTTTTTGGAGCTCGGAAGTAGCCTATTAACCTTATAAAATAAGACGGTGTAAGTGTGCGAATAGGTTATCTTGTTTGGAAAAAAATTGTTTTTCAAGCCTAATCTACTGTGATCAAAGGTGATTTCTATTTTTTGGGTGTAAATTTAAGACTATGAACGGTATGAACAGGTTTTTTATTCTTGAACTGTTTGCAAATATTTTTTGTCTTTAAAATCACTTAGCCCCTCCCTCATAAGTCACATGAATGTGCCCTAAAGTTAATTGATTTGTGGAGTACAAGTTTCAATCGTTTGATTTAAATTATAAATTTATTAACGGGCTGGAGCTTCGCTTTTAGCCCTGGCTAAAGCTATATATTAAGAACAAACAATCTTCAAAAGTAAAGGAATAAACAACAATCTCGCCACTCAAGGGAAGTTTGGATAAAAGTGTGCCGCCGAGCCCTTCTAACCCTAACCCTGTTTAAGACAAAAAATTGTTCATTTCGCTACCCTGTTTAAGACTAAGAGACCTACTTTCACGTCTCTGATTCATTTCGTTTTACACGAAATTTAAAAGTTCTTTTTGATTAACATCGTGAAATTGTTCTCATGAAGGACCACGAGGCCGATGTTCGCGATCAGTCCGAAAAGACAACCTGCATATATTCAAGACGCAAATTACTGAAATTGTATGACCCTGAAAACCATGGCCATACCCTGTTTTGCGGAACATAACCGCCTTGCCCGGGGAAATCTTCAGCTTTGTAAAGACAGCTGAGTTAATGCGCCTTCTGCTGCCCCTTTCTCAAACGATATCTGTACAATTGACGTTAGACGTCTTCAGAAGTTGAAAATGGTAGCTGTTTATTAAGAATAAGCCGGGGAATTTAGGCCAATCAGAAATGGAAAACCATTTTTTACCATTTCAGATTTTTTAAGAGCAGATCTCACCTCCGTCAGTTGTCATGTCACAGTAAACTTTCAACGGGTTTCCACTGTTCTCAGGGTCGATCCAGTACCTCCCGTCTCCTTTAGAGTCACCAGAGTCCCGGATGCTCTTACAGGAATAAGCAGGGTCCTTGGAATTCCAGCCTCGCTTCTTTGCTGTAGCAGATAATAAAACAAATGACTATATGTGGTAAATATTCTCTCCGCCGTAAAGCAATTGTAACATCAAATTTATAAACAAACAAGCGTTACTTACGAAGTTCAAATTTTTTGCCTCTGTAATCCGGATGACGGTGACCAGTTTGTTTCCTTTTGTTGGTGAGTAGATCTTGGCAGGTTGCCTGAGAAGAAAATAACGAGTTGAAATGAGAAACATCAAACAGTAGATGAAAACTATAGATGACCTCATTATGTGCTTTAGTTTTTACCACTTTTGTTCGCTTTAGAAGCAATATTAATAAGTTGTTGTTGTTGTTGTATTTATTACCTTCTTTTTATTTCCTGCCATGCGCAATGTTTACTGTGTGGGTAAAAGCAAATATGTACTTTAAGACACAGGCAAACTGGTACTCCACGACAAATCAATATTTAAAAGAAAATGTCGTCAAAAGTACCATATACGATATTTGAGTTCTGCAAACATAACTACTTGAATTCAGCTAATTCATAAGAAGACCTCAAAACTCTACAGAATTTGAGCCGGAAAGTTAAAGAAATTAAATACTAATCTGTTGTCTCATAATTGAATTCAGGGTGACCGTCGTGAACAAGTGTTTTAATTGGTTGTTTTGCGTTTTGGTTTTTTTAATTAACAGTTTTGTAAAAAAAGCGATAGTTCATATTCAAACAGTGGATCTGACCTTAACATGTCCATAATAAGAAGATCCTTTCTTCTTTTTAAATTTATCCTGCGTCGTTTGCCGTGTTTTGTTGTTCAGCTCACAAACTCGTTTAGTATTATCTGTACCGGGATGAACATTAAATGACTTGCAGCTGTTATTTCTGAGGCATTTTTGGTGACATTCAAACTCGTCAGCAACCGCTGACGTATTCATGACATGACCAACTAAAACATGGTCTGAAAGAAAAAATAATAAAGAACGGGGGAATATGCAATAAAACAGTATATACTTTATCATGAACCAGGGGCACATATTATCTTAGTTTAGCTTTGCCTTTTTATAATTAACAATTATTCTTTGAAATCGAGGTGAATAGTGGCAAAATATTTACCGAGCCGCGAAAGCGGCGAGGTAAATATTCCCAAAGCCACTATTCACCGAGATTGAAAAGAATAATTGTTTTAGTATATACACACGTAGCCTGAAATTCATCCGATTGCTTCGAGTTGTTTTCTCCTCTCAACAACGTCTGAATCGACCGGCCGTTAATGCCGTCCGGTGACGTCACTCACTACCCGAAAACCGGGTAGTGATTTTGATTGGTTGATTGTCTAAACATTCGCATAATTATGTATAATTATGAAAAATTTTAGCGGGATTGTCGCTTGATATTCAGCGGATCGCATCCCTGGCATTCTTTCGTTTAGTTCAATTATCTCGATAAGCTTAATCTTTATCTTAAACAGTGAAATTGCCCTTGTCTTCGAAACTGAAATGCTAAATTGAAGTGCGAATGAAGAATCATTGCGGAGAGTCGGTAGGTTTTTCATTTAGAGCCGCTTTGTGGTTTCGACGGTCGGTGATTTTGTTGACGCGAAGTTTTCTGAGATCAATGTTATAATTCGACCTTCTTGCTATTTTTACCGTCACGTGTAATGATTCTGTTAGCTTTTCTTTCTTGTCTCCTTGTTTTTTTTCTTCGTTAAGGACCAAATAGCTTCGTTTCAATTAAAGCAAATCATTGTGTTTTTGAACTAAGTGTTCCGTGTGTGTGTTTATTTCATTGCGTGATTGCGACCGAGTTTGATTATTATAGAATTTAGTACCACCGGTTTAGAGTTGTACTGCATGCAGTTGATAGTTTGAACGTTAAACATGAATTACTATCGAAAAAAATAAAGCAGTTCTGTATCATGCAGACATTTCCAAACGATATTTGCCGGTTTGCCACGCGAAAATCGTGTTTTACTTTTTGCATGAATTAAAACAAAGGTCGAAGAGTAGTGACGTCACTGGACGGCATTAACGGCCGGTCGATTCAGACGTTACTGACGGAGTAATAACGACTCGAAGTAATCGGATGAAATTCAGGCTAATACACACGAAGTGATCTCAACAAAATCAGAGAGGAAACCATTAAAAAGCACCATTTGATTGACAGATCAAATCACGCGTAAGTTTAAAAATAGATCTTCGCAGAATTTTCAAACATGGCAATTCACAAGTTTGTCATTTCGCAAACAACAGCGTAATGGCTTAAATGGAACCGCTAAAAGTTTGAACTGTTTCCTTACCAGAGAAGAAAAGTAGAGCTTTGTTGTTTTCTGTTGACTCGCCAAGTTTATAGCCAAAAGGGTTTGTTGTGTCGTTCTTCGCATGAAGTGCTGACAAAAACGGCGGCTCGGTTGCTCGAGGTAGGACGTCGTCTTCCTGTATCATTCTTTTTCCCGTTTACTTGAAACGTAGAATTTCTGCTAGCATTTCCTATTAAATTTGTTTGTCATAGATAAACTTCGATTTTGGAGCCAAAATTTCCTTGTTAGATAACGCTGAGTTTTTCACGAAACGGCTTCTTCAGCGCAAATACTGATACACGGGAGTTGTAAACAATCCATCGAGCACAAAACTCAGCTACAGTAAATTGAAAAACGCCGTATTGAATCCTTCCAAGTCTTTTCTTTCCTTAAAAAAAAGTCATCCCTAAGATTATGTCGACTTTTAAAAGATTGTTCTCGAAAAAAATGGGAAAAACACCGAGCTCACACATTATCCACTCGCTAGGAGGTGAATATTGTTGAATAGTCCGAGATAGCGAACCAATCAGATTGCTTAAATCACCAAGATCACTGAGTGTGTATATACTAATAAAAGATATACTTGCTTTCTTAATTCCGTTGGATGCCTGTGGCATTCCCAAGGTAAAAATCCGGTTCGGTTGTACCCAAAATTGCAAAGCCAGCCAATAGGATTGCCTAAAATCTTTATCGATTATCTCTTCTTCCAAGCCGACCAATCAGATTGTACAAAATCTGTATCGATTTTTAGTCGATTTGCTTCCTATGAAGAACGTTGAAATCAGAACGTTCCTTGCCAAATTTGTCGCTCTTGAGTTTTCCCACTCGTGGTTTAGGATGGCTTGTTAACCAGCGAAAGCCTTCGGGATACTGGCAAGTCACGAAAGGCAACCTAAGCCAAATTATTTCTTCCCTTCATGATTCTTTTTTGTTTAGGTCTAGCTTTTTCATAAGGTTTTAGTAGCGTCTGGTTGCGGGCCACGATTTCCGATAGATTTTTCTATTCGGAGTTCGCCTGTTTTTGCCGAGCACAGCTAGAGTTCAGTTTTCTTACTTTCTTATCGAAAACACCTTGACGATGGGAGGTTAAATCGCCTAAATGTCAACACGTACCCTTGACGACTGGCGGTGAAATTGCGAAAATATTGTCCTCGTCGATCGACGACTCGCATTCGGCATGGATTGGACTTCTGGATGGGACATGGATCAGGACCTTAGTAAACTTATTATACCTTGGAATCAGGGATAATCATTGGAACTATGTTAACTTTGAGACCTTGGAAACACATTGCAATTAAGTTTTAACCGTATCAAGAGAATCTTGGAACATTAAACTTTCATCTTGGATTAAAACATTGGAACTTTATCGAACTTTGTAACCCTGGTTCGATCCTGGATAAAGCAAGCGGATGTTTTGTTTTGTTTTGTTTTGTTCCATTAACCTAAAACTACAATGTTTATTTCTCTTTGAAAAAGTTACCTGTGGCAACTTACTACCAAGATATGACGTATCTTTATACATATAGTTCCCGTTCAGGTTAATCAGAGAGCATTAATTTATGCGCAGGTTCTCCATTACTTGTTCCGTTAACATTCCGATTTAAGTTACACGGGTAAACCTTGTTTTGATGCAAAATAACTTCTTTTTCTTACCCAAATCGTGATACGAAAATAACTACATAGCGATGGATCAAAATAAGATCAACTCCATCCTTGCGACCACTAACAACTATAAATTTAGCTTGCGTAGCAGGTGTCAGAAGGGGTAGGGATAGGGAGGAAGCAAAAAGGGGATGTGGATTGAGGAGAAATAGTAGCCTGCCACGCAGGCTACTATAAATTCAGTCATAAGCACATTAAACCAACCAATACAGGTAACCTACTCATCGATGCTCATAACATGACACATCTTTCCGGTTTCCCTAATTTTTCCAAATTCAGATAGAACGCCATTATGCTTCCATAGACCAACGCATCCCATGGAAACCACTTTAGGCCTCTTGTTGGGATTAGATACGAGCGAGCGGGAATCGTCAGAAGTAAAAAAAAGTGATAGAAGTTGTAATATAAGTATTAAATTTCAACACCAGAAATAGTCAAGAAAAGGAAGGGCTTTTAAAGTGCTTTAAATGGCGGGTATTTAAAAGATGTTACAAAGAACGATATTTTGTTTGGGCAGAGAGATATAGAAAAAGTTGTCGAAAACTGTTTTATAGAGCCGAACGTGTTAAATTACCATTCTTAGTTTCAAAAACGCTCGCACAGAAGTCGGAGTTGGATATCACCAATAAATTTGCGCTCAGAACATTAACAGCCAGAAAGATCAAACGAATTAACCACGAGGCTGCCATTGACGTAAAATGTTTGGATGAACTTCACTGAAGCTTTATGTGCGTGGAATCACAATAACGTATATCAGCCTTATACTGTCTTTCGGTTTGTTTACTTGTAAAACTCTTTTTTGGCAGCTCCCAAGCAAAGCAATTTTTCACGCTTAAGCACCAAAATAACACGCCTCAGGGAACGCTTGCATTACCGGCCGCAAGAGTGTAATTTGCCAGTTTTCTGTGAGTATATGTGATTGCTAAATTCAAAAGTTATACATTACTCTCAAATACTTATCGCTGGTCAGATACATTTTTGTGGACAGCCATGCCACTGCGCATAGGTAGTAAATTTTACAGAACACTATGGCATGTCTGCTTGCTTGTCATGGGGAAATTGAGATAATAAAATCTTTGAACATGAGCTGGTCGTGGGCAGAGAAAATGGCAATTAACTCATTTTTTTGGCCTGGATCCATATGCTACAGTAATTGCAGTATTGATATTGTATTTTAGTTGTTAAAATTTGTCTTGTTTTATCCTTTTATATTTAGTCTCGGGCTTCTTTATATATCAATGGCCATTGAGGTTGCCAAAATACGCCTGCCTAAAAACTGATTGCGTATCCCAATATGCGTATATGCACTACCAATCCGCTTTCAGTAGCCAAAGTTATTTTAAAATGTACGAGTTACTGAATATGACTGCAATTTTGCATGATTTTTGCCCATTTTAGGCCTCGGGAAGAAAAAAATTCGTTAAAAAAATATTATTCACTCGATCGTACTTAAACCAACGATTTTGCAACTAGGGCCCATAGGGCTTTATTCTGGCTGAGTTTGAGGCCAGGTAATTTTTTGACTATTTCCACGTCTAGTTGATATTTACGCGGAGCCGGTCTTAAACGCCTTGCAGCTGTTTTTTCTGAGGCATTTTTGGTGACATTCAACAGCCTCAGCAACAACGGACGTGTTAATAACATTACCAACTAAAACATGGTCTGAAAATGGTCAACAAATCGATGAGAAAAATGAAAAAAAGTCTTAAGGAACTAATAAGTTTACCGTAATCAATTTGACGATTTTTGGTCAATGCCCGGCTAAAATTATAACTAAGTACATTGGAACCCCGCCTTACGGCCACCTCTCGGTAATACGGTCAACTTTCGTTTTGAATTCTTCAGTGAGTGTTGAGGATGTGTCTCGTTATTTCAGCTTACTAATCTCAGCCAATGTCTGGTATCAGACAAACACTCCCTGAGATTGACTTCTTTTTCTATCATTACCCCAAAGGACAGAGGTGTTTTTGCCAGTCTGATTCATGTCAGATTTACTAGTTCGTGTCTTAACATTAAAACCATTAAAAGCGACTCGTGTAGAGCATTTTGTTTTCCAAAAACACGACAATTATAATGTGAGGAAATGAACTCAGTATGTGAATAATAAAGATGGTTTGAAATTTTTAGTTAATTATAGGCGTTAACTTACCAATTTGAGTTTCAAAAACACTTGCGCAGAAGTCCGATTCGGACATTACCGATGAAACTACCATAACAGCAGTGAGAACGAACAAGCGAGTGAGACGCCAAAAGACCGCTACCATTATTATATTTTTTAGGTCCGACGGTGCATAAAATCATTGAATCTTTGTATTTTCAGCAACTAATTCATGATCAAAAGACCCATTTTATACGTGTTTATATTGAATTTTTTAATTATTTACTTGTTAAGTAACAGTCATCTTTCTGTCAATACAATATCAGTTGATAACAATAACAACAGTTAAAGGTTTCAAGACGCGAAAGCTTTTTAAACCAACTTTTTACACGTGCATAATTATGACACCTCTCTTTTATGAGTAGTTACATTGTACGACTCCATGACTTCGGACCAATACTTCCGTTTTTGTAAAAATGATCCTCATGTTTTCTAAGTTGTAAAACGGGAAGTTCAACGCAAATAACACTATTCCGTGAAGAGGACGCGGATGCAAAATCCATCTTCTTTCAAAAGAAGCAGGTGGCAACTATGATGCGGTTTTGCAACATTATCTTTTTTTGTAAACCTCTCTAAGTTATCGCCCACGTTACGAGTTTTCAAAAATAATTCAAATAGAATGACGCTATTAGAGACGTGTTTTATTTAATCTACAAAAGTGTTCTCTTTTCAAAGTTTGCTTTCGTAATTGTTTTAGATGGATGGATTTCCAAGATGATCTTTTCGAGTTGGCTTCCAGCTGGCTTTATATGAAGGACTTTCCCACTTATGCGTAAATAACAAGTATATTGCGTGCAACGTTGTTTTCAGCGTTGCAATGATACTGTGTCAGTGTTCTTTGTTTAAAAGCACACAAACAGTATCCTTCCTCACAAGTGCGGACGTCAGTAAAAACAGTACAAACGATTTACGTCATTACGGAAAATCGCAGAACCACGGGATAGTAGAGACTCGAGGTTCTAACTTTCGATAACTTGGTAGCAAGTGCATTGCTTCTTTGCCTCCATACATATCAGCAATATTCTGTAGGACTAAATTACATGTCTACAAAGTGATCCAGCAAAAACTGATCAGACAGGAGGGCTTGGGAGAGGGAAAAGATAGCGTGCGTGAAATCTCTGCGAAACAGAGGGTGATGTCTCTTCTTCTATAAGTCTTTTATTGAACTTGCAAATTATGAATAGATTGAATAGGAAACGTCAGCAAGCGCTTGCATCTTGCTGAAAAAAGGACAACGGGAACGTTTAGATTTCAATACGAGCACGATACCGTATTAACGCCGCGATTATTTCAAATATTCTTCACTGGACGTCGTACCCTTAATAATTCGTTTTATTTTCCCATTAAATGAAAAAATAATCACATGAAATAAACTGAACATGGGCTTTTTAAGAGTTCGAAATTTAGTTCCTTGAATAATTTTAGGAGCTTGAATCGTCATGACAGTGCACTCTGAGTATCAATTTCCACTGAATAATGAATCCAGCCAAAAAGACAAATTTATATGACGAAAAAAGAGAGATGAAAATTTTTTTTTATTAGTAACCAGGAACTGTTGTAACTTGTTGAGAGATGACGCTGTGTGTTGGTTAAAGCTAGATTTAGAACAATAGAATTGTGATGTTGTGACCTTAAATGAGTCAGTAATAACAGGCTGTAAAAAAAAAATCGTCAGTTTGGTCAAACATCTGTAATTTGTGCTAAGGATTAGGCTGTTATCCGTTTTATCAAGGTGTTATTAATGTGGAAGTTTACTGCACTAGAAAAATAACAAGTACTGTTATACATTTTTTTAGGTCGCACAGTGACCTTGTATAACGTGCCTTCTTGTTGTGACGTTGTAATTAGCTATGAAAACCTGCGAGCAGTGTACGAGATTCTGAGAGCCATTTGTTGGGCTTGTCTCCCCGATTTTGAAGATATATGGAAAGCTAATGAAGTTCGATAAATATCCGATCAATGGGCTTTAACAATGAAACATGATGAATAACCAGTTCAGGGGCACCCAACGACAATTTTCGAAAATATCTATTCGGAAGACGATTCGAGATCTAGAATTTTCGGAACATTGGTTGTAAAATTTCTTGCTTGCCTGCCTCTCCTAGGATTTTCGAACATCTAAAAAATGACATAATTGCCCATTTTTAACGGATTTTTACCCGTTAAAAGGTCACCTAGAATTTTCGGGAGCGTTTTTTCTGGCTGAAATTTTCGAAAAGGTAAGTTTTGATCTATATAATTTTCGGATCACTAGACTTTCAGCTAGGAAATCCGAACAGATGAAAAATTTTCAGGGGATAAAAATATGCCTATATCTACCGTTTAAATTCTCAAAGACGTTTAACAATGCTTTGTTTAAGTGGTTTTGAACTAAATTCTCGTTGGGTGCCCCTGTCAATTTACTAATAAGCTTTGCATGCAGAAACATAAATAATAACAGTGTGCTTTTTAAGAGTGAGATATCTTGTCTCCAAACTTGATGTCCCTCGGAACACATTTATCCTTAAAATGGACATAGTAGTAATTTAGCCTAGGAAACTCATTAATTTTATGTTGACTCTGGCTTTGAACAGTAGGAAGCTTTTCATTCTTATTTAATCACTGAAAGGCAAACATATCAGCCACGCAAACAAATAAATAGCGTGCTGCTAAGGAACTGAAGGAAGAAAAGAGTATGCAGTTATAGAGAGAGAAAGAGAAGAGAAAGAAAGAAGTACAGAACTGTTGAAGATCAATGAAGGTTACGTTGAAGAAGAAAGCTTAGAAGTTAACAGAAGAATAATATTGTGAGAGAGTAAGTCTCCTTATAATAAAGTGGTTAATCGTAAGACGTATTGGGTTGTGAGAGTCAATCTCTCATCAAGAGGATTTAGTCCCTTTATCAGGTACGTTAACAGCACAACACCCATGATTTTCACTGATTCGTTGACAGCCCCGAACCATTCCAGGGCATTGCCAGGGGTTTTCAAACTTGTTTTTGCGTGAAGAGTCACTTTGCGTTCGTTTTTAACTTCCTCTTTTCTCTATGAGAAAAACGATGCGACACCCAGTCTAACTTTTCGAATGCATGTCCGTGTCTTTCGCTCTTGGATGTCAAGTAGTCTACGGCAGACAAACCTCTTAGATACATACGAAAGCATAGATACTTCAGGTGAGGGAACAAGGCAGGAAGCCAATCAGAACACAGCATTCGCTCTATCTCTCCCGTCATGCATGGTGTCCCGTGTTCAAAAACCTGACAACGTTATGAAATGAAAAACAGTTCAGAATCCCCCAGAGGGGAGTTTTGAACATTTTTTATTGTTGTATCCCAGGAACGCGCTGTTATTCTCCACAGTGCCTTATGCCATTTCCTACCACGTGACTCTACCAGGGATCAATCCGCCATCGTATCAAGAAAAGCGACCTGAATTTGAGAATACTAGGTATTGTTCTGTATAGACGATCTACATGATGAAATCCCGAATGACAGGAACGCCCCCAACGGGAAGTTGGGAAAATTCCTCATACTTAACATAAACAAAACATTAT